TTGAAAAATCTTATTTTAATTTATATTGTTTTCAAAACACCTAATAATTAATAAAAATAAATTGGTAAGGAAAAAAAGAATTTCAATTGGTTAATTCAAAAAAAAGCGGGAATATATTCTGGCGGCGGCGGTGCCGCCGCCGCCGTAGTTCTAACACCAAGCACCGGTAGCGGGGTTTGCAATGCTCCAATAATTATCACAGCAGTTGCCTATCTATTAGTATTCTTGTCTATGGTTTAACGTTTCGAATTAATGATTACACAGTTGGTAAATGTGTTTCATTAGTTGTGGATGCGATATGGAATAATTTCTACTTGCAACACCTGCCTGTTCCCGACCACAGAATGTTAGTGGAAATAGCTACAGGATTTCAGGAGCGGTGGAATTTTCCTAATGCCGTTGGATGTCTTGATGGCAAGCACATTCGAATTCTATGCCCGAAAAAAAGTGGAACTATGTTTTACAACTACAAAAACTTTTTTTCAATTGTGCTACAAGCTGTTGCGGATCACCGATGTCGATTTATTTTTGTAGATGTAGGAGGATATGGGAAACAAAGTGATGGAGGAACTTTTTCCGCTTCTTCTTTATCTACATTTTTGGAAAATGTTCATACTAATTTACCACCATCATCACATATCGAAGGAATTGTTACAGATATGCCATTCGTAATACTTGCAGACGATGCATACCCACTAAAGACCTATATAATGAAACCGTACTCAAGACGCAATCTATCACATGAAGAGAAAATCTTTAACTACAGGCTATCGAGGGCTAGGAGATGTGTGGAGTGTGCTTTTGGTATTATGACAGCCAAGTGGCGTTGGCTTGGAAAATGTATAGAAACTAATGTTGGCAAAGCAGAGAGAATTGTGAAATGTATCTGTTTACTTCACAATATAGTTATTGACCGTGAGGGCGGTGAATTCAGTTCCGCGACGTTGCAACAATCTTTGAACGAATCACCCCTTCAAGGAAATAGGTCTTCAAGAATGTACAATAGAGCTTCACAAGAGGCTCAGACCATTAGAGACACCTTCAAGTCCTACTTCAATGGAGTCGGCGCTGTACCATGGCAAAACGGAAGCATCCAGTAATAATAAAAATAATATTGTTATTTAATTTAAAAAAGGTTGTGATTTTGATTTTATTTTATAATAGTTCATAAATATTATGTTTGTATTAGTGTAAGAGTAAAATGTTTAAATATAAAAAGTTGATTAACTACAATTATTAATATTTGTCTGAAATGATTTGATATGTCCGTAGGTACTCTTTGTAATATTTAATCAATTCAAATAAATAGTTTTTATTTCCTATTTTTAAATTTATTATCATTTAATAATTTATGCCACAGTCATTACTTTATCGAATTTTAACATGTTGAATAATATTGGATTATATTATAATTTATTACCCTCACACCATTGATATTAAATTAGATAAAACTAAAAATAAACACATACTTGCTCACTACTATCTCTATAATTATCAAACACAAACAAATTATTTACAAGCGTATTTAAATAATATATGGGTTTTCCATACATCGTTTACATACGGTGACGACGTAAGATTCTATTTCCGTGCGTAGAGGCACATGATATTTTGATGAATACACTGCTTATAGTACCATTTAGTAACTTATTATTTAGTAGTTAGTAGTTATTTATTATTTGATATTATTTCGTAATAAGTATATTATATTATTACCTGAAATTTTTTGAAGTTGAGTTCCAATTGATTCCCACAACTCAAACTTTATTTCACGATTGTGGTAAGCTTTCACTCTCTGGTCCCATAGACGAGGTTCATCTCTCACAAGCTGTATTAACAACTCCTTATCGATTTTTCCCGTCATTTTTTAAAAATTTGATTAATATTTTACTTAATTAACAGCAAGTTTTAACTTTAGTACTTTACTAACTACGCGTCGGATTAGAAACGTCGGACTGGAACCAAACATGATTGATCGGCCGTCAAATCGGATAGTGTCGTGAGTCGTCGGGAATCGAGAATTCGGAAGCTTCGTTTCAATTGTAGGCACTAACATTAAGATAAAGATGTTTGTTTTTCTTCCGACGTCGTCCGACCATCGGACAACGTCGGATCGGATCGGATCGGGAGAAATGCGGACCTAATGTAGGTGCGGCCTAAGACGTACAACGGTCGGCGGAAAAGGCGATTCGAGATCCACCATCGGACCGTCGGACCGATAACATATCGTCCGACGTTAAACTCATCTGCCCGAGCGGCACGTCATGTATTATTATATTTTGGTCGCAATATTATAATACATAATTTGTGACATTCTTAAAGTGTTTGTGTTGTGTTTTTTTCATCACCTCAATCCTAACCAAACACTTCGACCGGACCACGATCAACCTTCAAGCAATCATCGTGTCCGCGTCAAACTTCAGTATCTTGTTCGATTGGAAAGTGAATATCGTTGGTGCATTGGGGAGGTCAAAATTTAAATTTCCCAGTAGTTTTCAAAAGCACCGGGAAAAACAAAAGAAAAATTAAGGAAAAACGGGAATTTTTACGCAAAATCTGTTTTCGAGAAAATCGATTTTAGTTTTTGGTGTAACTTTAAAACAAATGACCGTAGATAAATGAAATTTTCAATGGTTGTTTATATTTGCATTTTCTATACACGATGACATTTTCAAAATATTTTGATATATTTTGAACTGTTTAGGGACATTTTCATTTTCCATATTTTTTTAGTTTTTTTTTATGAATATCAATAAAAATGTATTTATTGGATAAAAAAGCTTGAAAATTTAATAGAAGGCTTATAGTATATTGTTTTTAGCATTTAAAGTTCAAAAATTGACAAAATGTGGAAAAGTCACGAAAATTTGAAAATTATTTCTTGTTTTAAATTCATAAAAATTTTTCTTTTTAAATCTAAGATATGAAAATATAATACAAGATTCCTTATAAGATTTTCTACATTTTTCAAAAAAAAAATGTCTATAAGGTCAAATTGAATTTTTATGAGCGTTTGAAATTCCAATTTTTACATCATTGGATATTCACTCGATTTCTCATGTGGCGATTTCCTTATTTTGTTGTAATTCAAAAACGAATAACTGTAGATACATGAAAATTTTACTGAATGTTTATATTAGCATTTCCTATACACCATACAATTTTGAAAATATTTTGAATCTTTTTGAGCTGTTTACGGACATTTTCAGTTTTAAATTTTTTTAGTTTTTTTTTCTATAAATATCAATAAAGTTTTATCTGTTGGGCCAAAAAGTGTAAAAAAATTAATACAAGGCTCCTGATATATTGTTACAATAGCAATTGAAAAATATTAAAAATACATTGGCACAATTTTTTTTTATAAGCATTTAAAGATCGAATTTTGACAAAATTTATAAAAATCTCGAAAATTATCAATCATTGTAATAAATTATAAAATGTTCAGCTTTATAGCTAAGGACTGCAAATTTAAAACAGAGGTTCTTATGAATAGTTCATACTGTAACCAAAAAATCTAAAAAATATATGAACACAGTTATTTTTTACAGACATTTTAAATTCAAATTTGGACGAAATTATATATTAAAAAACCTAGAATAACTATTTTAGTTATTTTGTTGTGATTGTATAATATTATTCGTGGGTACTTGAAACTTCTAAAGTATACTATTATATATCTATGATAGTATCACGGTTTGTTGTTGATGTATAACGCGTTATAAGTACCTAATGGATATTGTGATATGATTAATTTGGAATTTATTATAGGTCAATTTTATTTTAATACGATATAATATATGTAATATGTATATAATATGTCTTGACCTAGACTGACATACCGTCTCCACTCAGAATCGTTTTTCTTATACAATGATATTATATCATTGTATTCAAATTTAATACCATCCATTATACAGTGACCCACTTATAACCTACAGTACAGCAGAGCAACTTTTTTTTTGTCGATAAAGGTAGATAAACTTATGTGGAAGCTTGTATTACATTTTCATATCTTAGGTTTAAAAACAAAAATTTTTTACGAATTCTTAACTCAAAATAATTTGCTAATTTTCGTGATTTTTCCATATTTTGTCAATTTTAGATTCTGAGTGGAACGATGAATGTTTTACAATGATGTGTGTTTTTTTATTTTTTTACTTTTTATTTTTGTGTCTGTATACACATTATTGACTTAAAATTAATTAATACCTATGTAGTTAGGTATCTAAATGGTTGAAAACTAATTTTTAATCTCATTTTTTTAGGAACCTTGTTGATGATAGTTTTGAAAACGATTTTTTACCGTTATTACCAGAAACTATCATGGATGCTAGTTGTGATGGTTACAATCTTACAGTGTCTTTAACCAATGATTTGGATGATGAAGATAACAATAATAATAATGTTCTTACTGGTCGAAGAATTATTAATGTTGAATACTTTTTGAATAGTTTACAATCAATTAAACACGAATTATTCGATTGTAGTATTCAAAATCTTGTCTTCAAATCAGAAATACAAAAAGGCTTTTTTTCTGAATTTCATTTTGAATGCAACTTATGCAGAAAGAAAGAAGTAATATTTTCCGAACCTCCAGACATAATAACATCGTTGTCTATTAACGCTGCAATTGTTACTGCAACAGTAAATTCTGGTCAAGGATTTACAAACTTAGAACAATTTTCGTCCATATTAGATATGCCATGTATGAGCAATAAGACTTATCAAAAATTCCATCAGGTTTTATCCAAACAAACCGAAAATACAGCATGGGAATCTATAGAGCTGGCTGGTAAAGAAAGAAGCAAGACTTGCTGTTTAAAATGGTGACATAAATATTGATGGTATTCCTATGATCACTGTTGTGGCAGATGGTGCCTGGTCGAAACGATCTTATAAACGTAATTACAACGCAGCATCTGGTGTTATAAGTATTATAATATATTATAAAATATTTTTATATATTTTTATAATTTTTTTATTATTTTAATATTGTTAATTTGTTTAGGCATGTATTGTAGGTTACCGAACAAAAAAAGTATTGTTTATTGGAGTTCGCAATAAATATTGCAGTATTTGTCAAAAAGTTTGTGCAAATAATAGAGACCCACCTGTACATTTGTGTTACAAAAATTGGAATGGTACTAGTACAGCGATGGAAGCTGATATAATAGTAGAGGGTTTTCGACAGAGTATTGCAATGCACAATATAATTTACCACAAACTTATTGGGGATGGAGATTCTAGTGTCCTGAAAAAAATAATGTTAGCAAAACCCTATGGTAATAACTTAGATGTAAAAAAGATTGAATGTGCCAACCACATACTCCGAAATTATTTAAATAGACTAGTAGATATAGCGACTAAACGGAAAAGCTCAAGAGGTTGTGTTGTACCAGGATTACTAAGAACCAACTTAAAAGAAAAACGATTAAAACTGAGGTAATCACATAATTTACTTTTTATTTAATTTGTTATTTTAAAAAATGTCTATTGTCTACTATTTATTCAATATTTATTGCTAGGTCTGCTGTAACAAACGCTATCAAATATCGAATTGAAATAGATTGTCCTATAAATTATAAAGTTGCACTTTTAAAATAAGACATAGATAATGGGCCATATCATGTTTTTGGTTGTCATGATAAATGTGCTAGGTTGTTAAAAGTCAAATTTAAATTGATTTATAAATTAAAAATTATAAATAAAATTTTTTTAATGTTTAGTTATTTTTGTTCTGGAGTCAAACCAGGTGAAATAAATCTAATTCCTGAAATGGAACAATGTGGTCTATGGCAAGATATAATTTCAGCGAAAAATCTTGTTGCTCACCATAGTGAAAGTTTAATTTTTTTTGTAAACAATAATTGTGTGGAAAATTACAATTGTATTGTAGCTAAGTATACAGGTGGTAAACTAGTTAACTTTTCGTTAAGAGGTATAAACAACTTTTTTAATTTTAAATAAATGCATTTTTACAATTATTTGTATTAAATTTATTGTTTTTACTTTTTAGGATCGTACCAGACTCGATGTACTACTGCTGTAACAGCATATAACTATGGACCAAGTTATATTAGACACCTCCATAATAAAGCCA